TGGGTAAGAGTTGAATAATTTTCAAAAGAATGTGTATTTATAAATTGTAAAAATTGTAACTAAATTAACATATTTAGTCATTTTATATTATTTTATTTTAACTTAATGCAAGTTATTCATCTAAATTTAATTTTAGGTATGAAATTTGTTCAAAATTTTTTTATAAAAGGAGAATTCGAACTTAATTTTTGTAAAAAAGATAAATTAATTTATATATTCTATAACCAAATAATTAAGTAAGAAAATATTTATATATATTTTTTAACATCATAAATCTTTTACACTTAAATATTTAATTTATTAATAAGTATATCAATAATTTACTTAAAAATTTATATTTTTTTAATTTAATCCCTTAACATATCAATTTTATCAATTTGATTCATATATTATATATTTTTATTTAATTTAATTTCTATGATGTAATAGTATTTTTTTAAAATTTTTTTTATCAGGTCATCGTATAATGTCACGTGGCATTATCATGTTGTCGCTCGATATTATGTGGTATATTATGTCATGTCATAATCTTAAAATGTAACGTTATTAAAATGTGACAAGTTAACATAGACTTTATTATTTAAAGTAAAATTAAATTGATATAATTTTTAAAATTAATAAATTAAATTATTTTAATATAAAAATTAAATTAAATAAAATTAAAAAGTACAAGTACTGAAAAGGTTGTTTTGAGTTTTTTATGGTCAAGGCCAGTTCCCAAGAAACCCTAGCCAGTCAGTAGCCACCACAAGAAGATCCATCAATTTAAAACAGCGCTCAAAAAATAGACTGCAAAGCTTGCAATTAAATTGTGGGGGGCCTCTACTTTCACTCTCTGCTCTGCTGTCCCCGGTGTTTCACTTGTCTTTTCCGCACATTTTATCATCCTGCAATACGCAGAGACTGAGACACAGGTTTTTGGGGTGTTAGGGTTAAGGTGTGGGTAGCAAAGGTCTCAAAATGGAAGAAATCACCCAAGGAGTGAACAACATGAACTTGGGCGCCGATTCCCACAAGAAGAACCGGATTCAAGTCTCCAATACCAAAAAGCCCTTGTTTTTCTACGTTAATCTCGCCAAGGTTTCTACTCTTTCTTCTTCCTTTTTACGTCTCCTAGTCCTTCTGCTCAGCTCTGTTTACTCTCCTTTCTAATTTTGCATCCTAATCTGTGAAAATAATCTGCTGAATTTGAATAACACCGGTGAAATTTTGGTGGATTTTAGGTTTTTCCTTATCTGGGTTTTTTTTTTTAACTATTAGGGATCTAGGTTTTAGGTGTTAGCTACAACTGAGCGGATTAAATTCTTTATTAATGGTTTACATTCATCTTAGGATAACCTTTTTATCCTTTTGTTTGCAGAGGTATATGCAACAGCACAATGAGGTGGAGCTGTCCGCACTTGGCATGGGTACTAATCACTTCTTCTGTTCTCTAATTTATACTTTAATTTCGTTTTACCTTTTTCTCAGATCTGAACATGAGTCGATTTTTCTCAGATATGGGTTTTGGTTTTTGTTTAATTTGTCCTATCGTCACTACTTATAGGAGCTGTGTGGTTCAGTATGTACTTGTAAATTATAATTTCCATGAAGGTTATGGCACCCAATTATTTTAAATAATCTGCTCACTCTTCCTCTTGCTTTGGCTGAGGAGCTATTGATAAGTTGTTTGTTTTACACCTGCTTATATGGGGATATTGTGCACTGAAGATGCTCTGAAGCATTTCTTAACTTTTTTTTTTCTCTATTGCAAAGTGTTTGTGATTTAATTTATCTGTTACTGGTGCTTCTAATATATTTTCTGGTTCTAATTTTTCTTCGATGAACTTAAATTTATTGTGTGCTACATTCTGAGAATTTTACTAAATCATTTTTTTATTGGTTGTGTCATATATGCAGCAATTGCGACAGTTGTCACGATTGCAGAAATTCTGAAAAACAATGGTTTGGCTGTTGAGAAGAGTAAGATGTCTTCCACTTTTTTTTTTTTTAAGAAAAGCATGCATTAATATAACTCTTGAGTCCTTATAATCATGGGAATCAACCTGCACCTGTGCAGAGATTATGACCTCAACAGTTGATATGAAGGAGGACTCTAGAGGGCGGCCTGTCCAAAAAGCAAAGGTAAGTTCATGCATTAGCTCTTCATGCTTCCTTTTGGATATGCCGTGGTTTATGCAAAAATATGCAAAAACACATTTGCAAGCCGAGATACATTTTCTCTCTCCTAATAAAGTGAAATTTTATAATTGATATAGGGAAATTCAATATCAAATTTCGTATTATTGACATTTCCTTTTATTGGTGCTTATTTAATCATAATGTGTTAATCATTGTATTGCTGAGTTTTGTTCTTCCTTCTAGCTCGAGTATTGATAGATATGTTTTTTATGTTTTCTCAGATTGAGATATTGCTGGGAAAGACAGAAAACTTTGATGAATTAATGGCTGCTTCTGCTGAAGAAAGAGATGCTGTGGATGGAGAGGAACAGAGTTGAAACTTGGAAGGAGTTTGTTGTTGGTTTCTGGTGGTCAGTTTTTAATGCCCTAGTATTGGTTCAGACACTTAGGTTTTTTACACATTGTAGGTGTTTGAGTTATCTTTGTCTTGCTAGGATGGTAAATTAAAAAAAAAAAAATCTTCTTTCTTTTCAATATTCAATTTTGTTAACTGATTTATTTGGCTTCTGTTTTCTCAATATGTTGATGCAATCTTGGTATCATCCTGAACTATTGCCTTAGTGGATGAAAGACATTATGATTTAACCTTCTAATGACATAATGTTGTTGCAATTAAGAAGTGGCTTGCACGATGTTTCCAGCCGTTAAGGGGATGTAAGAATACTAAAGCTGCAATTTGAAGTGGTCCTTTCCTCACATAACACTGCACCTTTTGCAGATATGTTTTTATGTAATCCCCTTTTTTCCCCTTCCCTTCCGAGATCACTGGTTGAATTCTCCCCAGCCTATGCATTTTGGAGCTTAAGAAAAATATGCAGGGACAAAATTGCTTTATTTCACTTGTCATGTCAAATCATCATTTCACCTTGCAAAGGGGTAAGCATGGTTTTGGATATCTCATCTGGGCTGTTGGGCTCTTCAAACATCTGTATTAATATCTCATGTTCGAAAGTCAATTGTTAAGTTAAATGTTATCAATAAAGTGACATTAATTTACTTGGTAAAGTAACATATAAAGAGTTTGTGTGGTCTATTTTTTTTTAGTTTAAAAGTTATTAAGTTGTTTTTTTAAAAAATTGTAATTTTTATAATTAAGTTGAAATTATTGGATAAATTTCTTTTTATAAGTTTTTGTTTGTAAGTTATAATTTTAGTTAAAATTATTGTAAAAGCTAATTTTTTTTTGAGAAGTTAATATTATAAGAGGATATTTTTGAAATAAAAATAATTTTTTTTTATATTTTTTAAAACAAAAAACGATTTGTTTTAAGTTTTTTTTGTAAATTTTATTTTTTAAAAAAAAGTTATTTATTTTTTAAAGAGTTTTTGTTTAGTTTGACTTTTGTCATTAAAAAGATAGATAAGTTGAGAAAAAATAAAGTCAAACAAACATAAAAACAAAATTATTAATCACTTTGACCATTTAAATGTTTTTTAATTTATTTTTTTATTTATTTCACATCAACACCTTTGTATTTATAAAAATTGTGTCCACTATAACATGGAAGGGTACAAAAATTCTAATGTATGCCATAGAGGCAAAAATTGTTTTCCGGATCAAATTGCAGCTCCTCAGCAATGAGGTCAGAAGTAAGTAGCTACCACTTTCAAGGGATATCATACAGATTCTTTCTCCATTAGTATCCTCTTGCACGCCTCATAGCACATGAATGAAATCCCAGCTGCAGGAACCAATTTCATGCAGCTTGGGCCCAAGCCTCTATAAAGACCTGGGATTCCTTCTTTCTCAAGTATGCTTGTCAAAGCATGAAGCATGTTCTGGAACTGTCTTCCATTAAGAGCCCCAGCCTGCATCTGCTTCCGAGCTACCTCAAGTGGGAAAGTTGCACTACTTGAGACTGCACCAGCTACTGATCCAATTAGAAGAGTCATGACATTTCCAATTTCCTCCTTCTTAAAAGCTTTTTTATAAGCTTTTCTTAACGTATCATACACAAAATAATTAGTGGCAGCATAAGGAACCACTCCTATCAAACTAGGAGTAAGGCCTTTGAACAGTCCTGCTGGCCCTTCTGCCTGCACAATTTTTACGATGGCATCCAAAAGATCCTTGTAATCTTCCTGCAATCAGAACAAAACGGTAAGCGGTAAAGATACTTTACATGAAGAATTAGCATTGTTCATTAGTTTACCAATCCTTCCCAAAGTTCATGCTCACCTTGACAGTTAAACGAGTTTTGAGTAACTCCAGAGGGTATGTGCACAAGGTAGAGCTAACTCCAGCAACAGCGCCTGCAATAAATGAGGCTGGAAGAGGGAGTTTGGGCTGTTCCCCATGTTCAGGTGTTAACTGTTTCTTAACAGTCTCATATGCAAATAACTGCACAAAGGTTCCACCACCAAGATAAGTGTTTACTATTCATGAAAGACAATTTATAGCATGATTTTAGGATAAAGACTAAATCAGTTGAATGTGAGATAGTTTTTTAAAAACACCTAGAGAATTAGACATGTACAGACATGGGCAACGACATAAAGGAACCAACAACACAAATGGAAGAAGGCTGCAAGAACTTGTCTGGACACGTCTTCTGCTCATCAGATGATTTGCCAAAGAGGAAATGCAAGCAGATGAAAGGAAGAGAGAGAAGAAAACCGGACATCAATCTTGACCATGAAAGCCTATTAAGGGGAGCCTTATTGTATCAGATACGGCAACCAATAAAGACACAGACAAGAAGGGGAGAAGCAAAATGCTTCTAAAGATCTTGATCCTTCTCAGATTTTATTTACTTGTTTGATTTTAGGGTCTTTTCCTCATCTCTTTTGTTTGTTACTCTTGTATGCTACCCACCTAAATTAGCAGGCAATCCCACCCTCAAGTATCAAAACAACCTTGATTTTGCATGGGAAATTCATTAGGACCCCAACGGAAAACAGTAAGAGACGCATGGTACGTAGCTCCTCTTTGGCAACCAAAGAAACAGCCATATTAATTCTATCAAGTAGATGTCTAGCAAATAATCTTGAGATTTATGGACCTACAAACCAAGTCTCGAGACACAAAAACAAAATAAAGAAAATCAAACCAAAGATCCTAGTCTGGAAATTAGACCTTCAAACATCAAAATACGCACCACACAAAAAAGGAAAATACATACCAGATCAGTAAGTAAAGGAAGCATATGCCAACCAGAACCACACAATGGTGTACAAACAGTTCACCAAGCAAGAAATTACTAAAGTCCAAAACAATGATGAACGGTAAAAAAATCTAACCATAAGAAATTGAGTCCTTAACTACACACCTCAATAGCCTTGCTTGGCGCAACGCGAATAACATTCACCAAATTGCCCCTAAACAGGCCTTTCCATCCCTCACCCCTCATGATGTTATCAAACACTTCAGCCATAGAATTCCCACAACTCCCCACCATCAAATGCGTTTTTATGGTCTCCAATGGAGCTACAGCAGTCCTCGATACAGCACCTGCAACTGCCCCACTCATCAACCTCCTCAATGATTCATTTCTAATCTTAATTCTCAACTTAAAGCCACCCTTCTTCTCCTTCTTCTTCTTCACCACCCTCTCAGCAATCTCAAGTTCATCATCCAACAGCAGTTGTGGAACCTTCTCAAGCTGAAATCCAGGTTCAGGGACTGAAACAAATTGTGTATGTAGGCTAGCATAGGGGAACTTTGCAGTATTCTCCAGCGAAGTCGGAGGGTTTGGTGAGATAGCAAATCCCATCCCAGCTTGATTAACACTTGCGAAAAAGCCATGAGCTTTCAAACTAACCCTCTTATGAGAAAAAGAGCATTCAATCTTAATACCAGAACTACTAAAAACCACATCTTTGTTGCCATGCTGAACAACTTGTAAACTCTGTTCGGCTGCCATTAGTCAATAGCTTAAAAGAAAGCAACCGCCTTTCTCGTCCTAAAGTACACGGATGAACTTGTGTTTTGTAAAGAAATGGTTTTTTGCAAATGGGTATTCTCAAAAAAGTTTACCCAATAAATTTTAGCAGATGGGTATTGAATAAATTGGCTAAGAAAAAAGAAAAAGGATTTCCTAGAGGAATACAAGAAGAAACAGCTGCAAGAATAAAGAATTTAGAATAAAGGGTATTTGAGATATTCGAGGTTTATTGGGATTACCAGATGGGTTTGATGAAGTGGAGAGGAAAGGAGGTTCTCTCTTCCCCTCTCCCTCCAAAGCCAAAAGTTAGACTTTAGAGAGGAGACGGAAGAGAATCAGGAGATATGGTTCTGCTGATGAATAGTGTAGTCTAGAGTGTCGGCTAAAGCTGTGTTTTAAAAGGTGTTCCTTCGCTGGAAAGAACGGTCACAAATTTTCAAAGGGCGTGGACGGTCAATTCAATAAAAACGCTTTGAATGCATTATTACCAAAACCAGGATCACATACATAGCATGAAACAAAATACTTGAGATATAAATGAATTCCAGTCTCCTGTTTTGTGAAACATGAAACGATTTTGATTGACTTTCAAGGTGATATGACTAAACAATTGCAACAATTTTTATATTACTATAAAAAAATATTCTTTTGCTTCCCTCCTACCCGCTCCCTCCCCTTCCGGACAAGGGTAGGTTCTCCAAATTGCTGTTGTTAAACTTCACTTATAGCGTGAGTTGTTAATTGAATACTTGACTTTCAATTTTGCGTTTGGTAAACAAAGCCTTTGGACAATGGTTCAGAGCATTGAATAGATCTAGGAAAAGTCTTTTTGGTAAATTTATTTTTCAACGTTATTCCAATTGTTTCCCCTGTTGGTATATTCCGGTGAAGCTTACTATTACTAGAAGAACTTTGCTTTCCCCTAGTATTTTATTACAGGACAACAACTATTGTAGCCTCGACAGCCACAATCTCGTTGTCTCACGGATTGTTAGTGCTCTACATTTACTTGTTTTAAAGGAGGATGAGGACATAGTAACTCAAAATTTTGCAGTTCTTTGTCTGCATTTTTCATCGAATCTCAGATCTGAGATACTTGATTTCTTGCCACAAGACTCAGATAAAATTGACACTTTGATCCAGGGGAACCTTCAATCTTTAGAGCCACACGTAGACTGCTGATAAAATTCTGGTTTCAAAATCCTGATTAGCTCGCCGTTAAAAGCAATTCCAGCATCACCATCGTTGACTCGTCCAGCTAACCAAAATTTTAAAGTGGGGGTTGCAGATTTTTCCTAGCCTCGAGATTTGCAGTAGTCGTTGCCAATGAAGCAAAGAAGAGAAACGAAAGGGAGGACTCAAGAGGAGCCAGCAGAATCAATACTACGAAAATTTTAACCTGTCTTACAAAATTGTCAGAACATTTGGTACATATAACTCTCTTGTTCCCAGTAAACAAAATTGTGATTGTATCTTACCCGAATCTCTACAAGCTTACCAAAATGATTACCAACTAATAATTTCATTTTGCCTTCCCTTTCTTGGATGATCCTGATCCTTTCTTTGCAGTCTTCTTATGAAGTTGCTTTTTCGGTTTCAACTTGTTTGAACTGGATGAGGACTTCCCTTCTTGGTTCCTTCTATTCCTTGCTTTCTTCTCTTTCTTCACATTGTACATGGTAACAGCCTGATTTCAAAACAATACAGGCTCGGATGATCAACAAATTTCCATATGGAAGGTCAAATTTACCACCAGATGAACCCAACTACATGGCTCACACTTACCTTGTCAACATTAAGTATCTCATGGGAATGCTTGGCAATTAGCTTGTTCAGAACATTCTCAGTTTGCTCCTTCTCTTGTGAGCCTATCCCTGATCCCTCAACAACTGGTAAGAACTGAAGAAGATAGAAGACAACTTATTGGAGCATGCCATTATTATTTATGAGAAATAATTACATTGAAGCAAAGGCCGGGTGTGCAAACCTTGCGGTGCTTTCCCTGCTTTTTAGCAGGTTTTTCTCCTGGCAACTTCCTATCAAATTTCCCACCACTGGCTGTAGAAGTAGCAGCCATCCCAGCTGCATTCCCCAATTCATCTTTAGTAACTTTCTTAGTTGGAGCCTGGGTTCCTGTTATGGGCAAAGCTGTAGCAGCAAGCTGAACATGGCTGCAGCAAACCGTTTCAAAATTAAAAACAACTCGACCAAAACATAACAAACAGTCAAACTCTAAAACCAGAAATTAGAAAAGAAAAGAAATGGGGCAAACCATTTCAAAATTCAAAACAACTCGAAGAAACATAATAAATAGTCAAACTCTAAAACCAGAAATTAGAAAAGAAAAGAAATAGGTTATCACAGCAATCAGAAGTGTATCCTCTTGGAAGTTGCAAGAACTGGAACAGGAGCAATAAACACGACAAAAAATCTACCTTACACAAGCTCCAATAACCAGTCAGATATTCTCATCAATAACTAGAGCAATTTAGACAGAGAAATGCTGCCTATAGAAAAGAAAGCAACCCATGACATCTATAAGAACTTTCTATAGGCATGGTCTGGAATCAGTGGCCAACCCTTAAAACTACTAAAATGAAATAGATGTTAAGGTATAAGGGATATCAATCAAAGAACAGGAGTTACAAGTTAGAGCAGAATTAATGATGTTACATGTAGAATAAACCCAAGGAGAGACTTATTTATAGCCATAAGGTGAACTATGATTAGGATAAAGAAAAGGAAAAATCTATACTGTCTTGAAAATAACTAGTAAACAATGGATGGGTAAAACCTTGGCAAAGCACCAACTTTTGCAGCTTGTTTCAAGTTCTGCAGGCGATTCTTCTCTTGCTTCTCAACTCGTTTCTTCTTATCATCTTGTCTTTTTGCAAAAGGATCCATACCTGGCTCTGCAAAAAGCAACAATCGTGATCAAAAAAATCAAATTGGTCCATTATGTCCAATACTTCTAAACTTATAAGGCCTATCACTTCAATATGTAGTACACTTATTACCCACAAGGGCATTTACAATTGTTTATTCCCAAGGAATAATATAACAATTAAAAAGTCAAATATAGATATTATTGGTTGATCTTCCATAAGGCAGCAATTCATTCATACTCACCATCAGTCATCTTAGCATCAATGATGGGTATGTCTTTATCATCATTAACACGATCATAACCATAGCGACGTTTCCATGTACCAGTTTGTTCATCCCATACAACTTTGTCCTTTTTACGTGTCTTTATACCTACAAGATATCTCAAAAGGGGACAAGCAAACAGAATGATCTTCAGAAAAAGGGAAATGAGAATAAACTCAAAATTCTAAAATAGCCATATAGACTTCAGATGATTGGTGAAATGAATTACCTTTCTTTTTAGCAAACTCTTCCCATTTTGTAGGCGGTTTAGGCTTCGGAAGCTGAAAATACAACCACACAAAGCATTTCAGGTTTCGTGGCACCTTACAAACTAGATTTTATAATGCAAATGAATAAGTAAATAGATAAAATTCAGATTCATTTGCTAGGAGATACTTATTCTTTAATTACAGTGGTACAAAAGAGGGTAGGCTTACATGCTTCTCCCTTGGAAGTTTTGTTGTCGAGTGAGGCAGCTTCACAAGCGGCCCATCTACATCTTCCGTCGAAGGTAAGTTAAAAAGACGATCGGCAACTGCTTGAACTAATTTGGTACCCTCCTCTAGACATGCCTTAACTACCTCATCCCTAAGCATATTGGGCAGCAGACAGAAGATCAAGAAAGTAACACATAAGGATCAACTTCTTTACGAACCAAATACTCAAATATACAAAGGGCAGCCTATGCCTTGAAAAAGGACTAAACAAACTTTGGGGAAAAAAAATGTATCCAAAATATGTCCATTATAATTGATATCACAGCTCCGAATCTCCTTTGCACCAGAAATTTATCATTTCGTTAATGAAAAATACCCTCAAAGAGAAAAGGAACAAATACCCACATAACTGAAAACCCCAAAAACAAAAGAGGAGGATAAAAAAAAAGAATAAATTACTCTAAAACTGTAATAAAAAAGCAAAGAAAGAGAGTAAACCTGGAAGTGGAGAGGGAGGGGAAGTTGTGAAAAGGGTTAAAAGCCAAGAGATTTCCCAGGTCTACTTGAAAAGGCTTCTGGCTCTCCTCCATCTTGCTCTTCTGTTGTGCTGCAAACTGCTTGCCAAGCTTTGCGTCGTGGCTGGTTGAGCTTTTCAAAACCTAGGCTAATAACGCTTTTCCAAACCCCTCTCTGTATTGATTCAATATTGTACCGGTACTAAATAAAATCTGTAGGTATGTGGCCCAAAGAAATTAGTGTCCATGTATTTTGGGCCTATGCTCCAATTGAAAACCACTTACTTTATTAGCCCAAATAAAGCCCAATTCTTTTTTTCGTTTGAATTTTAACTTTGTATAAATATATCGTAGCTGGCTTATCCAATATAAATACTAGTACTAGTTTCTTTGGCCTGAATCCAAAAAAAAAAATTAGTTTAATTGTATTAAAATTGAAAAAGATGTCAAAGAAATATATACATTTATTAAAAAGGTCTTTACTTATTAGATTTTAAATTTAAATAAAAGTAAAACATCTTGTGTTTTTATAACTACTTTTAGTAAAACTTTTGATAAATTTAAATATCATTGGAATAAAAATAAAATTATGAACTTTTTTCATTTGTAAAAAAATAATAATAATAATAATAAAAGATGAAACATTACCTTAATTTGGGTAAATCATTTTAGGAACGTTAACCTCTCGAAAATCATACTAGCGTAGTCATAACTCATAACCAAAATGAAAAACTGAATGGTAATATGTTTCTTTCACAACATTATTTGCACAAATAGAAATTTAATTCAGCTTATAAAAAGAATTTAATTGAATTTTTTATTAAGTATTATTAATTTAACATGATCTATGGTAATAGAAAATTAAAATAAGAGCAAGATTAGATTCTCATTGGACCACCATCCCATCAAAATGGTACAACATATATGTCCATATTTACCCCTAATATATTCCCCAAATACCAACCAAAACCCTGTGTCACCCAATTTGTTTCACATACAAACGCAACCGACGACAGTTTCACAGAAACTCTCTCTCTTTTCCCCTTCTTCCCCGGTTCCCCCCTCCTCAAATCATGAAACCCTAATTTCCGACTAGTTAACCAAATCAGCACCTCTATTTCACTATCTCTACATATGAACCCTAATTAGCTAATACACTTTTTGCCCTTTTCACCCCCTATTTCTTCTAGGGTAAGATTTTTCCTTCAATTTTTTCACCTTCAATTCGATCTTTGCCTCTTTTCTTTTTTTTTTTCCTTCTCAAATTCAAACATGGATGGCAACAAAGATGACGCCTTGAAGTGCTTGAAAATCGGGAAAGAAGCGTTGGACGCTGGAGATCGAGCGCGTGCGCTCAAATTCCTTAACAAAGCGCGTCGCCTGGACCCAACGCTTCCCATCGACAATCTCTTATCAGCAGCAGCCGAAAAAGAATCCGACGATCGACCCGCCCCGGAATCTCCCGGGTCCACCAAAGATCCGTCCGGGGCTTCTCCTTCTAAGCCGTCTGATCAACCGTCAATTCGCCAAAGGAATCCATCAACTGGGTCAGCTGCCTCCTCTTCTTCTTCGGCTTCTTACACCGAAGAGCAAATCACAATCGTGAAGCAAATCAAGAAAAAGAAGGATTATTATGATATTTTGGGGTTAGAGAAAACGTGTTCCGTTGAAGATATTCGTAAAGCTTATCGGAAACTATCCTTAAAAGTTCATCCTGATAAGAACAAAGCACCCGGGGCTGAGGAAGCGTTTAAGCTGGTTTCAAAAGGGTTTCAGTGCCTAAGCAATGAAGAAAGTAGGAAAAAATATGATCTTGTCGGATCGGATGAACCTGTTTATGAAAGGAGAGCTTCAGCATATCGCGGCGGAGGAGGCAACGGGTTTAATGGTTATTATGATAATGATTTTGATGCTGATGAGATATTTAGGAACTTTTTCTTCGGTGGAATGCCTCCTGCAACCACGCAATTTCGAAGTTTCAATTTTGGGCCTGGGATGGGAGCTAGAATGGGGGATCATGGCTCTACCGGATTCAATATTCGGATGCTGATTCAGTTGTTACCGGTTCTGTTAATTCTTTTGTTGAACTTTTTACCATCCTCTGAGCCTGTTTATTCACTGTCCAGGTCGTATCCTTATGAGTACAAGTTCACAACACAGAAGGGTGTGAATTATTATGTGAGGTCAACGAAATTTGAGCAGGATTATCCACTTAATACTCCTGAGCGTATAAAGATCGAGGAGCGTGTTGAGAGAGATTATTATTCAGTTTTGGCCCAGAATTGTAGGTTTGAGCTGCAGCGGCAGCAGTGGGGGTTTATTCGTGAGACGCCACATTGTGATTTGTTGCAGAAGTTTCAGTCGGCCGCTTAATGGCTTCCATTAAGGTCTTTTCCGTGTTCCTGTATTTTTTTTCCTTTTAGGCTATTAGTATTCTTTTAGTTTTAAGGGTTTAAAGGTTGTGTGGTTGTTTGTTTGTTTGGATATTAGTTTAAGTGCAACAATTGTGACCTTAGGCAGGCATCGTCAATGGATATTGATTTAACTAAAGAATAATAAAGTGATTCTGATAGTGTCTATTTGCTATAAAAATGTAGATATTGAAGCGTATGGGCTTATATAGTTTGATACTTTGGTATTTAGTCATGCATATTGATACTGGTTTTCTAAAGTAACCTTATTGATAACAAGAGTATATGTTGTTAACTTTCATTATGGTAAAAATGTAAATGTGGTTCAGTTAGAGTTGAAGCAAATTCTATTCTGTTTCTAAAATCTGCACTAGTTCTTTCAAACTTCCTTCTGCTGCACAGTGAAAATAGGGCATTGTTCTTTCTTAAAGCAGTTTTTTGCTGCACTACATGGTACGTATGTTTTAGAATCATGTTTGTTGCTACTAGGGGTGAGTATTGGGACTTCTTCAACCATTGGAAATAATTCCTCATCTTTTCGTTTTGTTGCAAAGCTAGCCTTCTGTCCACCCTAGTTTAAAAAAGGGAAAAAGAAGAAGAAAAAGGTAGAGAAAACTAATACATATAAAATAAACTACCTGCCGCAAGAACTTGAGTCAAGCTGACTGATTCGACCTTGGAACAAAAGCAGCCTAAGACATACATTAAGCACCTAGGAAACTTATTCACAGCTAATACCAACCTATCAATGAAACTCCTTATCTTGTGTGTCCCTAATCAAGCCTACACCCTGCTTTATTTTTCCTTAAAAGAACTCTTCATTGATGCTGCTCCATTCCAACCAAACTGCAATGAATAGATGATATATGAACCCAAGGCTTATTACCTTGCTCTGATTTTTGACAAATTAAGGAAAGCTATGACTCTTTGTAATATCAGTACCTGGCATTCTTATAATCATTGGGACAGCTTCTCCTATGAATGTTAAATGAGCAGAAACTCTTATGTTAACAATACTTACATATAATCCTATGAATTTTTTTTTTTTTGGAGGGCCATATAATCCTATGATATAATGTACCACAAACAAATCAATTCTTTTTTCACTGCATGGTTATCTATATGACTCAAACATATGTGACTCAAACATGACAACAAGGTGGCCTTTTTCAAACTTTCAAATTTGAAACATCAACAAGTGCATTGTTTTATTTGAAACGCATGGATAGTTACGTTATCTACAAAGATGGAACTTAGCTGTTGTGGTTGCATGATCCTATGGTATGCTCCTGGAGCAATTTGTGTATGGACCTCCTCTGCTTTTGGCATATCTAATCTCTTGATTAGTTTTGTTTGACTTTAGAACTAGGCTGTTGTTTCATCATGCAACACCAGTATGGCATTTTTGGTCCATATGTAGCATACTGATTTTTTTATTTCATTTGGTCCCATTAAATAAGAATCTTTACTGTCTTAGCCACAATTTTGAGCGTCATTGCTTCTCAAAAGAAAAAAAAAAATTGAGTCTCATTAGTTACCTAGGGGATACCCATCCAGTGTCAATTTCTGGAGTAGGTGAGGTGGAATTATTCTTTTTTAGTTAGCCTAATGAAGGAAGCGGATATCATCCACAAGGGGGCAGATATACGTATAACATATTTATCAATCATCTGGAGATGAGATTAATACCTGTTGTCAATGCATGCACTGGTGTGCATGTTTGATGCTAATGAAAGTGGTGACAGGGATAACTTTTTCTGCATCTTAATATTAGCTAACACTGTACATTTGCGATGCAGGTGGGACACTAAACTAAAAGGACCACACTTTTCACCTTGCACTCTCTGCTTGGTGTGCTACTCAAAGACCGGCAACTGCACTGTGTATTGGATAATACTCATGGCAAAATCTTTTTCAATTTCATAGTTAAGGTTCATTGATCCTGTATCTAGAGTTCTCAGGCTTGCTAGTAGAGCATTATGACGACATACTAAATTTTTCAGGGTATTGTTTGACTTGAGATGCTATACACTGAGAGTGATGTATGTCCAGAATATTGTCTGGACTGTTACAGGATACGCACCAAGCATTTTGATGTTAATGAAGTTGTCTCCCTTATCCAAAAAATTAAAGAAAGGTAAATGCAGTCTTTAATTTGAAAAGTGTGCATAACTTAAGGTCATCTATCCTCAAATTTCGTTTTCTATTGTAAAATGTTAATCTTGGTTGTAGCCGTGCCTTGATGAGAACGAGCATTGGATTGTATCCGGTAGCATTTTTAGTTTCTGGTATCCTGCTAGCACAAAGTTTTCAGAGGTTTGGTGAATGTTGTCATGATGTTTCAAGCGAGTCGATGGTCTCTATAATTCCCCCTCGCTCCTAACAAATTCTGGGCGTGTATGATAATATACAATCGAAAGACATCCTAATCCTATTATGACGTCAACATCAGGCTAGAAAAGTTTGTGGTGGATGTATGCCTTGTGTGTCATGACCAGGGATACCATGCTATCATGGTTAGGGTTTGTGAAACCCACAGCAAACTCTGTTTTAAGAATAGACCACATTCGGCCAACAATGAAACCACTTAAATTTTGTAAGAGGAGAAATGGGTGTTGAAGTTCCTGTTATGTATTAACCAACCCTCACAATAATAGGCTTCTCAGTCAAGCAGTAGAGGGATCCACGAGGGGTTCGGGGTGGATTCATTTGAAATATTTATATGGAAATCATTTCTATACAAATACAACTAATTCACTT